TCTTATTTAACAACCGTGCGACATCTCGTAAAATATCACCGGTGAAACGAATACTCCAAATTACTGTTTCGGAAAAGAGACAGCGTGCAGGAGATGAAAGCGCACGAGTGTGGAGGGTACAAACGAGATGCAAACACAGAGAGGTGACACACAGCAACGTGAGGACGGGAGTGTCCTTAGTGGAAGCAAGAATACACGCATACTATGTCAAAATATTCCGTCCTCCGCCATCGTTTTATTGATCGCCGATGTAGACACGCGTCTCGAAACACCGACGCAACTGTACATACAAGATACGGATACATACACAAACTACACGTACACGCGCGCGCACACATACACAATGCAACGCGCACGCAGGCAGCCGTACCTTGTCCGATAACGGATTGTCATTCGACGCGAAAATTTTCCGACCACATTTTCTCTAACGAATTCCCGTATCTACGAATGTTCGCACGTGATTAGAGCGCCGCTATCTATTCTACTTACGTGATATTTCTGCTCACGCGAGTGGCCGCGATTCCTTGACGATACACACGAGACGCAGGTACCGCGGATGTGTCGAGAAGCTCGCGCGGGGTATCAAGCTGCGACAGCCATGTTGGCGAGGGTGTAGCGCCCCTAACCGGCCTGCTTCGAAGTACAGTTCTCTTTTGCCACCCCGTTTTCGCCATCGTCCAGCTCACCCTCTCGCTGTTAGTCTGAATGAAATTTTCGATGTGAGAGCTATTAATCAATCGAAAAGCTTAGCGCGATAAACCATCATAATAAAATATAGTAATAATACAGAATGTTTCAAAAATTTATTCTTGAATTGCTTTAACCACAGCTTTAATAATCGATTTTTTAATATTTCTTTAAAAAATAGTATCGTCATACTTTATTGAGAAGAAACAGATTTGAAAACGACTAAGAAATTTACAATAGAAATAATATCTGGAGATTTTGAAACACACAATTTGATATACAATTCGTAAATTTCTTTTTTTGTATAGTTATATATTTTTAATTCTTTTTGTTATAGTAATAATACACGATTATATTAAATAATATACCTTACATGTGCTACAAAAAAAAAAAAAACGGTAAAGTAAAATTTCCGAAAGGATCCCAGACAACACGCAAATCTTAAAGACATCTTGGAAGGATCATCCAAAAGTCATTACTTTTTCTGACGTCTTTTGGACGTCTTTCAGATGTTTTTAAGATTTGCGTGTTATCTGGAGATGCTTCAATTACTTTCGACTACAGCTGGATTACGTTCTTCGATCGGAGATATTGCAAAAACAGTCGCTGTTACGAAAGATCTTTTTTATAGAATCCTTTTCAACTATCCTTGACAAATGCGACCGAATATCCCACAGGAATGGAGTAAACTTTTAAATCTCCCTTATATGTGTAGTTCGCGGAGAAGTACGCGTGCAGGATATCAAGACTCTACTTTCCTTTAACTTTTTTCCGCAGGAATGATGACATATCGGTTACTGAAGATAGATAAAGAAATCGTTAACAGCAATTTATATCGATTTCTTGCCTTCACTACTTTTATCGGTTATTTTGCTTCCTTGCCAAGTTGCCGTCTCCCGCGAGATTTCGTCTCTTGTAATCAAACTCGATATTTTTCGAATGAACACTCACAACTTGTCGCTCCGAGAATCCATATTTCTGCACAGTGATCTCGCAGAATTTCCGAGAATCCAGGATATTTTAATTAAAAATTTACGACACCGCAGTGAGCGGACAGTAATGGTAGTAATTGAGATGTCGGATCGTTTTGCTGATAGGCAGTAAACCGCAAATGAAAAATTAATTGCGTAATTTGGTACTCGGTATTCGCAACACGCTTGAATAAATAAAATTCACATTAAGAGTACAAAAATATTTTAAATGTGTATTAAATAGGTACATTAGAAATAAATGCAAAGAAATATACGACCCATTCGTTATATTGTCAACATAAATCATTAAAATTTTATAAGAGCGCTAAAAAATAAGACATAAAAACTACCGTCTTCATGATCACTCCATTGTTTATTCATTTGTCTAATTATGGTAGCACCGAGGTAGCATCATGACGCAATATTTTTCGACAGTTTTATCGACACAAATGTGTATTTAGCATTTTTTTCCTTCCTTTTTTCCCCGAAATTACACAACATCAAGAATAAATTGCTGTAAAAACTTGCTGGAAAATCGTTAAAATCCGAATTCTCTTCAGTATTGTCCTGCAGTCAAAAAAGGAAAGTGACGACGAAAACCCAAGCGATTTTTGCATCGCTCGTTTTCGCACGAGCTTCCACTGTTACCGACGCCGTTTCCCCTTGTTACTTCGTACCATTGTCTGAGCCACACTACTACCGTGCAATAACGTGATTATTTGCGCGCCAGACAAGACAAAAAAAATCGCTAAAGCAATACGTACAGAAAAAAGACGCTTTTCTATCTTTCGCAAATTTTTGTATTCTTATTCGCTTATTAAGGAAGCATTTGGGGCCGTCTATCTAAGGATGTTGCAAACTTAAATTATTAATCACACACAGACAGCTCGTAAGATATACTGTAGCCTATACAGCCCTTTATTCTGTCAGACTTAATAACACTGCATGTAATCGAGCGCAGGATAATCCATTCACTTCAAATCTTTCATGTGCGTTTAGTTGACGCGATAACTTTTAGCAACTTTCGATATGTTAATGAGAGAAGTTGAGGCACTTCAAAACATAATCTTGATAGTTTAATATGGTATATCAGATATGTGACGACAATGTACATCAAAAGAAAAAGTAATCGCAATATAATATAATTAAAGTATTAAATTTGAAGCATCCTTAGATGCTGCACATAACTTTGCTCAGAGTATTACAACTTTAGTGCATTACTTCTCCAATAATAACATGATGTTCAACTATTATAGCGAATATCGACGCTGTCGAATTACGCGTACACGTGCGAATAACCATATTACGAGCTTCAAATCTGCGCAGGGAATTTAGCCAAGCGCATAAGTAGCAGTATAACGATCATAACTATGAACAAGCGTTTGTATCAAATGTATTACCAGTGGATCTGAAGTCTCTCTTTGAGATATCACGTTTCGGAAAACGCTGATATACAGGGTGATTCAAAATAACCTGATGTCCTTGCAATGCCATATTCTTGAGCAAATTCTGAGACAATTTTTCCTTTTACAAAATTTTGTCCGAAGCTTAGTTTTCGAGTTATAATTGAAAAT